ATCACATTCACTGTATTTTTTTAAAGATCACACAAATCTTTATTTTTTTTTTTATTTCAATAAGGATTTATCACATTCATCGTATTTGTTTTTTATATTTTTCTCACGTTGATAAATTTTAGGCCATTTTTGAGTTTGCTGTCTTTTTTTTTTTCGTAATGAATAATGTTGAACTAAAATTATATATTATAATTATAATGATAATATAATTAATGAAGTCGTAATTAAATACGTCCTTATCTTAATTCTCATCAATTTTAGCGCTTATCTGAATTATCATCTCTTATCTTATTTTTTTCAAGTTGATAAATTTTAACCCGTTCATCATATTTTTTTTATTTTTTCAAGTTGATAAATTTTAAGTAGAACTAAAAATGTTGTGTACAAAGAAATTTTTGAGAACTTAAAATAAAATACCAATGTATTGTAGTTTTTGTTTTGTGATACTTCCATTTATTTATTTGTATATACTTACAATAACTGAACTCTTTTACGTTTTTTGTTCAAATTTTTTTTTCATACACGCGTATAGTACACGGGTGTTGTACTAGTAATATCAAAGTAAATAATTTGGTAGATAGGAACAATTTTTTTCTGGCACAATTGTTTTTAATTCTAAAATTGTAATTTTATATCTTTGTTGTTAAATATATGTCTATCAAATATTATATAGTCACCCATTTTATTTTTCTAGATCCGCCCCTGGACGAGACACTTATTTGAACTCAATCACCATCACTTTAAACCATGGTTTTAAATAGCGCCGCTATAGCGCCGCTACAGCGGCTCAGATCAGCTAACGCCAAGCTATTGCTGTTTTTGCCGCTATTCGCGCTATTTGGCGCTATAGCGGCGCTATATAGCGTCAAATAGCGCCGCTATAGCGCCAAATAGCGCGAATAGCACGAATAGCGCGAATAGCGGCAAAAACAGTCTGACGCTACTATGCCAGAAATGCCCGACGCTATTTTCCATAGCCCGCGATCAAAAACCACGCTTTAAACATGTTATATAAAAACTTATTTTGTAATGTAATATTAAACAAAAAATAAAGGTCCTTTTATTGTGTTGCATTGACAAAAGATATTTAGTATGAGTTCCTACGGAAAGGGTCAATAACCACGAAGCCAGAGCGGGATATATGGTATACATCTTTATACTTGCCCTTTTGCCTATTCATGCAGTTTTTCTATCCATTTAAGATTTGCATGACTTTGTGGGCAGTTGAAACATCAATATCATCTATTTAATATCCACCTAGTTTTAACATGGCTAACACACCCATATGTTGAACACATAAATTTTGGTAGGAGGAATGTCAATAGTTAGATAGGGGTAATGCTAATCTACTGTTACGGAATCATTCCGTCTGGATTTGTAACCGTTAGATTATCATGTAACCGTCAGAGATAGTTGATCTAATGATTACAAATCACGGCGGAACAGTTTCGTAACGGGACCGTAGCATCTTCCGTTAGATAGATCGATATGTTGTAATTTCTTTACAGAAACGAAGATTTAAATAGAAAAAAAAAATATATATATATGATCGTCCAAGTAATGCTCCCCTACCTACGGTGGACACATGTTAATATGCCCACCGGTTATGTGGCATGCACACATTGGTGATGTATTTTTTTAAACATATTAACATCACCAATTTGTGCATGCCACATAAGCAGTGAGATATTAACATGTGTCCACCGTGGATAGAGTAGTATGATCGTCCAACATATTATTTTCAAAAACAAATAGTCTCACTTATAATTCCTTCCAAAATAGCTTCACTAATCTCCATGGCTATCTCCTCCTTTTGCAGCTCAAAGAGTGAAGTCCATTCTTCTTCAGAGTCCAAAAAATCATAGTTGAGCAGAACAAGTATATTGGTCTCATGTATTGAGTTTTTGCTCCACACCCACACATTTTCACACACAAGCTGCCAAAGCTCCTCTGTTCCCACTATTCTTTTAAGCTGCTGCTCATTTTGATGCCTTCTCCTTTTCTCGAAAATTTTCCGATGATTTTCGATCACCTCTCTCAGGCAATCGATCAGAAGCCGCTTTGTTTCGTGCAGAGCCCTTTTGTTTATTGTGTACTGATAGTAAGAGTTTGGGCGTACGACTTGTCGTGATGATTTTCGGGCGCAGTCTGAGTACATTGGCCGTTTCGGTTTGGTTTTTGAAGTCGAAGATTCATCTTCGCATCTCGTTTTTGTAGTAAAGTCGTAATTTGCTACGAAAAAGATTAAGAAAGTTGCGAGTTTTTTTAGTTACTTCTTATGGGAATGTTACTTTTTTTTTTTCTTGTTTATGTTTGATTACTAAAAGCAGAGTTTTATGAGGTTCTTGACAAGGGAAAAATAAAAATAAATAAAAAAGAGAAAATGTACTAACTTTCGTGTAATGAAGAAGTTGACGAGCCTTCGTCGTTCGACTCTGTTTCCGATCCGTGTTTCGTATTTCCATTCGCATACACCTGTCAGCTTCGTGAATGTCAAAATGCGCGAATTCATAAATTCAAAAGAAGAAAAAAAAAACAAAGAAAAAAAAAGCGTCGTCACTAAAGAATCGAATAAACCGATCAACAAGAACAATAGTTTTTTCTAACGTACCTTTTTTTCTTCGAGAAAAATACTGTTTTGCTTCGTGCCCGGCTTGTGTTCTTGTCCGTTCCGATTTCCGGGGAAATAACAACTTTTCGTTTTCGCTTTGCGAAACCGGGTTTGGAGGATGAGCCTGCGAAACGCGGCCTTAGCGAATTCTACGCAGTTTGCGACGGCATCCCGCTTCTTGAAGGATCGAGCACGACGATTTCGAAAGCCTCTCTCGAAAAGGTAAATGTCCAAGGCAAATGGCTCTTGTTGCTCCTGAAGAAATTCTCCTAGCAACTTTGGCATGATTTTGTTTGAGAAGAAGATTTTTTCCTTTTGTGTAAAGCTTGAGACTGAAATTAAATAAGTAGCTGCAGATTGGAGAGTGTTAAGCCCAGAGACATAAATTTTGAGAGGTATGGGCACAACAGGTGACAGTATAATTGTGAGGGTGAGAGAGAGATATGGGCACGACAGGTGACAGTATAAATTACAAGTGTTTTGGCATTTTTCAGTGTCTCAAATAAGCACCATGAGATGAGACACAAAAAATGGTAAGATAACTTCTCTTTTCTCTTTGTTAGGTAAAGGTCTATTTAAGGATGTATGTATTAAGGATGGTAAATCATGTTATATTGGTATTTTACTATCATGCATGTCTTTGTATTATTTACTCTAATTTGACCATAAATATGATAATAAGTCCAAATTTAACTTAGGGAGAAGCTACAGTACCGTTACGGAACCATTCTGTCGGAGTTTGTAACCGTTAGATCATCATGTAACTGTCGGAGATAGTTGATCTAACGGTTACAAACTTCGACGAAATGGTTACGTAACAGGACCGTATCATTTCCCTTTAACTTAATGTACTTATTGGTTATTGTTTTTTTATATATTGTGTTTCTGGTGAGGCTGCTGTTGGTAAATTTAAACCAAAAGGAAACTAATTCAATCCCAAAACCATCCATGTCAAATAATTAAGAATCAACAAATAAAAGTGGAAGCATACCAAACTTCATGAATTGAAAATTCTTCGGTTTTTTTAGTTTCCTGCAGTGGTCGTTCCAAACGATCTTGTTGGACCCATATGGTCTTCCAAACTATCAAAACCTTATAAGAGATATTTATTTCTAGTCTACTTTTATATGTATGTTTTTCGTATATTGTTTTCTGTACTAAAGTCCGGTGGGGAGCTTTTAAAGTGAGAAAACACTTCTTCGAAAATGTGCTCGTACCTTTTTGTCGTTCAGAGTCGTAATAACCAAATAAGTAACAATTACTGATTTTCAGTTTACTCTCTCAACAAACAGAAAATCTCATAATGATATCTACACTTTTAAATCCATAACAATTTGATAATCTCTTTATTCAAAATTATAAATTTAAAAGATCGGTTTAATAAAATTATATTATGATAATTATACACATTTAATATACATATATTCTTCAAATAAATTTTTTCTCAACAGCCGTGTCGTGTTGTACCACTATACCATTTGCCACTGTGTAATCATGTGTTTTTTTTAACTAGGTCATGTTTAAATTTCGTGTCCTCATCCACTTGCTTGCTTCAAAAATCTATATATATTTGCTAGAGACTGGACTTAGACTTTACCCGAAATAGCCTTCGGATCAAAAGGTCATTGGTTCAACCATGGGCTCATTGGGCAAAAGGTCACCTCCTAGAAGAAAAACTTCAATATATAAGAAACTTCAATTTGTTGGATCAATCTATAAGAAATGTTAAGACAAACTCAATTCTTAACAACTGGATTATGGAGATCGGTTTTCCACTGATGATGAAATCTGCCCTAATCTATATAATTACAGCAACAAATATTCCTATCTACAGAAATAATATATTTACTATATATTATATATACATAACATCTCCCATCAAATTGGAGCATGGGGATCTCGAATGCCCAACTTGTCAAGAAAGTAATCAAACTGGAGCTTTCCCAATGCTTTAGTGAAGATGTCGGCAAGCTGTACATGAGTGGACACATAACTAGGTAGAATGGTGCCCTTGAGAACCTCATCGCAGACAAAGTGGCAGTCAACCTCGATATGTTTGGCTCGCTCGTGGAAGACATGATTAGCTGCGATATGAAAAGCAGCCTGACTATCACAAGAGCCGAAATTGGCTGAGGGTGCAGAACACCAAGTAAATGTAACAAACCCCACAACCATTTAACTTCACGGATTGTCGATGCCATATAACGATATTCTGCTTCGGCGGAAGAACGAGCAACCGTCTGCTGCTTCTTAGTCTTCCACGAGATTAGGGAGTGACCCAACTGGACAAAACAGTCTGTAAGAGAATGACGGGTCAACGAAAAACTAGTCCAATCGGAGTCACACCAACCAGTCAGCTGGAGGTCACAATCAGCCCGAAGAAAGATCACCTGACCAGGATTGCCCTTAAGTATCTAACAACCTGAAGTGCAGCCTCCCAATGCGCGAGTATGGGCTTCTGCATAAACTGAGAGAGGGTATGAACACAATAAGATAACTCGGGTCGCGTCACGGCAAGGTAAATTAAGCGACCAACCAACCGGCGATAGACCTCATGATTGGTTAAAGGAGTATTAGTAACTAGAGGAAGGTGATGATTCTGCTCCATAGGAAAACTGGCGGTTTGGAACCCAGAAGATCAATCTCAGAAATAATATCCAAGGCATACTTGCGTTGGCAGAGAAAGATGCCATAGGGATGGAATGCCACCTCAATGCCGGGAAAGTATTTGAGAGCGCCAATATCCTTCATGTGAAAGCAGTTACTCAAATAGTTTTTGAAAGATTGAATAGCAGCCCGATCATTACCCGAAATGATGAGATCATCCACGTACACCAACAAAGTAAGCTGAACAGTTGCTTTACGAAGGACGAATAAAGAATAATCAGAAGATGATTGCTGAAAGCCATACTGGCGAAGAGCACTAGCCAACTTGACAAACGAACACTGCGGAGCCTGGCGCAAGCCATTCAAGGAACAACGAAGTCGACATACCATCCCGGGAGAAGGAGAGGAAAAACCAGGAGAGAGACGCATATATACTTCCTCGTCCAAATCACCATGTCAAAAGACATTGTGAACGTCCATCTGATGAAGTTTCCAGCCCTTCGCATCAACAACAGTAAGAAGTGTACACACTGTGACCATCTTTGCCACGGGAGCAAATGTCTCATTGTAGTCAAATCTCTCGATCTGATTGTTGCCCAAAATGACGAGACAAGCCTTGTAGCGCTCAACTATGTCAGTCGAGCGATACTTAATTTTGAATATCCACTTGCACCCAGTGGTGCCTTTTCCAGGAGAAGAGAATCAATACTCCAAGTACAACTTTGTTCCAAGGCCTCAATTTCCCGTTGCATAGCATCACACCACCTTGCGTCTTTAACAACCTCGTTAAAGGAACGCATATCCACCCCTGCAGTGACACTTGCCAAAAATGCACGATGGGACGATGAAAAAGAATCACAAGAAACATAATTGTGTATGGGATAGGACGCAATTGAGGAAACCGATGAAGAGAATGGAGCGAGAGAGGGGCCTGAAAAAGACAGTGTGTGGGCGACGAAATCTTTCAAGCGAGTAGAACGCTCCTTAATCCGATGGCCACGGCCTAAAGGTGCTTCTGGTGGAGTTGAAGAAGGAGAGTCCCCCTATCGGAGGAGGAGGTATCGGGAGTGTCAGAGGTGGCCGAATAGTCGAAGGTGGCCTGTATAGAAGGGGTGGCAGGACTAGTCTCAACAATCTCCATGAAATCATCCTCATCAATTGGAGGAGAGTCAACAATAGACGAACCAGACGGGAGAGGAGTCTTGGTAAAGTAGGAAACTCAGAGCCGGAGAAACGAAAATCACGAGAGACAAATAATTCTCCAGACTCCCGCCAACCTTTTTGGCCAAAGGGATACCCCACAAATAAACACTTGCGACATCGAGGAGAAAATTTATCACCTTTAGTATGTTGATTATGGGCATAATAAAGGCACCCAAAAACACACAAGTATTCAATAAAACAATGAGAGAAAATAAATAAACTCAATATTAATATTAATATTAAACGGAGTTGGTCACATGACTCACATCTGGAGGTGTAACAGGATGTCAGAAGGTAAGATGAACTTGTTGATATAACTTTCACATATCAATTTTTTAAACTTTCTCAACCTGTCTGATTATCTGGCTTGAGGTATTATACGAGCCGAGTTAGAGCTCTAACTTTCATCGAGCCAAACTTAGCTCGATTCATTTTGTAAACAAGCTTCAACTCCATTCGTTTATCAATATTAACCATTAACTGAGCTGACAAATTAAACTAGCTTGAGTCGTCGAGTCGTGTCGAGCTAACGAACTATTCCTTTTAACATTCACAGTCACACCATAATTCCATACCCCATAAAATATTTTTTATTAATTTAAAAAATGCCGTTCTTCACTACCTACGAAACTTCAAATATTTTTCAATTTAAGGCGCTAATGTAACGAAAATATGTAAGCAACACTAATTTGATTTTACACATAACTTTAAATTAATATCAAGTGTAACTTTTTTTTTTGGTACAGGGACCTTCCGGTTTCGGATTCACAAGGGAACCGACTAATCCGGTATCGAGCCGGATAGGACCACAAGGGCGGCAAAGCTCTCCCTCAAGAGTTTTTAATACCGTTGCATTCTCAGAGCTTGAACACGAGACTACTAGTTAAGCTAGAAGAGACCCAAGTCATCTCATCCAAGCGCTTGAGTATATCAAGTGTAACTTTCACTATTCAAGCAACAAAAAAAAAAACCAAAATTTTGTGCACTACATCATCAAGTTCGGTTTCTCTCTCTCTCCCTCTCTCTCTACAGCGACACGAGCACAGTCCTTATCGTTGTAAGTTCAGTGGTCCCAAAGTAGCATTTGTCTTTTTTAGCTGCATGCATACATTAATTACTCTTATCAAACTCCACATCCTATATGAGCTATATATGTTCTTATTATCTTAATAAAATTCTAATCGACATTATTATTAGTTAAGTTAGAAAATCCTCCCTTTCGGCTCTCTCACATCGATGAAGAACGTAACGAAATGCGATATTTGGTGTGAATTGCAGAATCCCGTGAATCATCGAGTCTTTGAACACAAGTTGCGCCAAAAGCCTCGACCGTTAAGTTAGAAAATCCTCCCCTTCGGCTCTCACATCGATGAAGAACGTAACGAAATGCGATATTTGGTGTGAATTGCAGAATCCAGTGAACCATCGAGTCTTTGGACACAAGTTGCGCCAAAAGCCTCACGGTCGAGGGCACG